TTTTCTACGATTTTGAAGACGACTTGAATTACTTAGAATATTATTGTCACTGATTTCACCTTCACCTTCATCTTCATTATCTTTATCACCTTTATTACCTTTATTACTGATTTCATTATCATCTAATTTTTCTATATTAGTTAATTTTTCAAAAAAAGATTGAATCACTTTTTTATTTATATTGCTTTTTATTTTATTCATTGGGATTTTTTTGTTTTGAATAATATTTTTACTTGATGAAGCAATAGATGTTTCATCTTCACTTTGAAAATTCATTTCAAAAGATAAAAAATTATCATTTTCAAAATTATTTTCATAATTATTCAAAATAAAATTATTTTCTAGAATCCAACCTTTTGTATTTTCCACATCTACATTTTTTTCATATTCTATTTCCTTTTCTTTTCCTTTTTCTTCTCTTTTTTTACTATTATTAATTCTCTCTTCACTTTCTTCTTCTTCATCCTCTTTATCATCTATTTCTATAATTTTTACAATATCTCTTTTTTTTTTCACTTTTTCTATTCTCTTCTCCTCAAGTTCTTCACTCTCTTCTCTTATGTTATTCTTTTCTCTTATGTCATTCTCTTCTCTTCTTCTCCCTTTTCCTCCCTAACTCCCCTCTCCTAAACATCCATAACCTTCCGCAACCATAATTCCAGTGATTTCAGTGATTTGATTAATTTTATTTTTTATTTTTTTCCTACTTCTTTTTCTTCTTTTTTTTTTTTATTTTTCTTTTCTCAAGTTCTTCACTCTTTTCTCTTATATCGTTTTCTTCTCTTCTTCTCTCCCTTCCTCCCTTACTCCTCTCTTCTAAATGTCCGTAACCCTCTACTACCATAATTTTGACGATTTCAGCGATTTGGTTAATTTTATTTTTTATTTTTTTTCTGCTTCTTTTTCTCTTGTTTTTTTTTCTATTTTTCTTTTCTCAAGTTTTTCACTCTCTTCTCTTATGTCATTCTCTTCTCTTCTTCTCCCTTCCTCCCTTACTTCCCTCTTCTAAATGTTCGTGACCCTCCGCAATCATAATTTCAGCAATTTCAGCGATTTGACTGATTTTATTTTTTATTTTTTTCCTGCTTCTTTTTCTCCTTTTTTTTTCTATTTTTCTTTCCTCAAGTTTTTCACTCTCTTCTCTTCTGTCATTTTCTTCTCTTCTTCTCTCCCTTCCTCCTCTCTCCTAAACATTCGTGACCCTCCACAACTGTAATTTCAGCGATTTTAGCAATTTGGCTAATTTTATTTTTTACTTTTTTCCTTGCTTCTTTTTCTCCTGTTTTTTTTTTCTATTTTTCTTTCCTCAAGTTCTTCACTCTCTTCTTTTCTGTCATTCTCTTCTCTTTTTCTCCTCCTTCCTCCCTTAATTCTTTCTCCTAAACATCTGTAACCCTCCGCAACTGTAATTTTAATGATTTCAGTGATTTGAATGATTTTATTTTTTCCTTTCCCCACACCTTTTTCTATTCTTCTTTCTTACCTTTCACCGAGTTCTTCATCTTCTCCTTTTTTAGCACTCCCCCTCCATTTCTCTTTTCCCTTAAATATTTGTGATCCTCCACAATCGTAATTTCAGCAATTTCGTCAACTTCGGCAATTTTGATTTTATTCTCTTCTCTACTCTCTCCTCCACTCTCCCCTGTATTTTTGTACTGTCTCTTTTTTTCCTTTTCAGCAGTGGCCCAATTCTCCTGAGGTTCGATTATTATTATTAGTTTGTTCATATTAACTGGAAGAAATCTATAAAAAAAAGATTATCATTATCAAAATATAATTATAATATAATAATTATAAAAAAAGAATAAGATTTGAAAATATAATTATAATATTATAAAAGAAAAATATAATGATTAATCATGATTATTCACAATTAATCACGATTTTTATAATTGTCGATTAATTGCGATTAATCATTCATCATCAGGAATTTTTATATAACGTTCTACAACATTATACGAATGGAACGTTCGAATAGCATTCTAGAACGATACCAATATACTAGAACATAACGTTCTAGAACGCTATACGAATGTTCCGTTCGTATTATGTTTTATGAACGGCATTTATATAACATTATATATCGCTGTTTTATAACGTATAACGAACGTTTCATATTAATAATGTTATATATCGGTGTTCGTATATCGTTAGTCATAACGGTACGATTTTTTATAGCATTCTAGAATGGCATTTAATAATGTTAAAAGTACAAAATATTCATTTTACACTATAAAAATGGTCATTTAATAAACGTTTATTGTATCATTTTTTTATAGTATTTAATGTTAAATAATGTTTTTTATTTCAATCTTTATTATTTTCTTTATTAACTATTATTTTACATTTATTATAATTATTACTATATTATTTT